AAGCTTTTGTCAATGACGTTACTGTCAGAAGATTCCGACTCAGGATTCATCCAATACTGCAAAAATGCAACTCTCGAAATGCCAGCTTACCACACAGAATATAAAGCACGTTTTGATCTTCAAACAATGGATGCAACACATCAAATAACTAACACCAGCATCCGCAAACTCCACAAGTCCGTCCATTTTGGACGCCGAGGCGCCATTGAGTGAAATTGAGCGTCCCATCCACATATAGGTCAATTTCCACCAACAAATTCTTTGCTGACGAACATTCCTTCGCATCAATGATCCCAACAAGCATCAATCTGTGTCCATAAGTGTATCGTGAGGCTACGAGAAGAAAGCATACGCTCATCCTGTCAACATTACACCTTACCTATTGATTGTTGCCACTCCCCCTTCTCCCCACACCCACCTCCCCCCGAATCCCAAATTTCAAGTGAACGCGCACCACATTGGACAGCCTAATGCTCCAAGCCTAACGCAAATCCCAATCCAAACCATCCTATATCTAGAGTATGCATCTCAGACTCGAGCAAGGACTTAAGGTCACGCCATAGTGACAAAAAATGGCGCCCATCAAAAAATCCTAACTGGCGCAAGCATAAGGAGCCGCCAAGGTGTAAAGTGAATCACCTTGACTGCCCACGTGAGTCAAAATGGACTACACAGTGAAGTAAAAAACGGAAGCCCTTGTCGCGAACGTTAGCTACCGGCGTTATTAATGGTAAGAATGGCAACTCATTACTAGTGGCGGTCATACAACAGTTTCGAATAGTTTGTTGGCTTACTCCTATAACGCGGAAGCTCGCCTTGAAAAATAAATTTTTGTAAATGTTGAGCTCAGCGACCGCTTTTCAAGTATCATTGAGATGTGTCGGAAAATGCGCCTCGATCGGGTAAACTAATTGATGAGTGTTTCACTCATGACTTAAATGCGCTTAATCGCAAAGGTATAAAGTTTCGATACAGCACATCCAACTTCCACACAAACACCAATCTACACTGGGAATAATCACAACCAAACTGTAAGGCATCCAGCGTGACAGACTATCAAAACGATGCATCTACTCACTGAAGACAACACCAATTATCTGAATGGTTATTCATCTCAGATGTCAAATTGCAAAATTTGTTTTAGCATAATTGCTCATATTGTTCAATAAACCAGGCAGACTAAAGGTGTTCCGAAGCTATCGAATCGAACGATAGGCAAATCCGACCAGGTAGAAAAGTTGTTAAGTCATTGGATTATAGTGCATAGCGTAAACCCTAGAAAGGGCAATCCAATAGACAACCAAATTATAGGAACAATACCTGGACATTTCTTCCAGTCGTACAACCAGTTCCACAGCACCACGTGCCTGACCACCCAAACAGCTTGTGTAGCATCCAATACGACAAACAATGCTTTCAGCGGCCACCCCCATGGGGTAGCTGGAGGGGGACTGAGAGACCAACTGAGAATGAGATGGTGACGTTGAAATTTGCACCGACACTCCACTACCCAGCCTTCCCCCTTCTCTCTCCGACTGCTTCACCTCCCTGTGACAGCGGTTGGCACGATGTTCGGGTGGGGGTCTAAGACCCAGTGCCATCTCTTGTCGGTCGATGGGTATGAGAATCGTTAGGTGGCCCTGAAGGCGACAGTAGCGTGCCAATGGTGATTGAACTGTGATGAAACTGCGCAACGCATCCGCGGCTTCCATCTCCGAAGCTGATTTAGACGCGCCTGATGTAGGTGTCCCTAATTGGTGCACATGATTCGCGCACCTATCCATTAGTTTTGGAGGGGCGAGGGGAGGAAAGGACGAAGAAAGATGAGCACGATAACAGCTAGTGATTAACTGTTAAACAGATGTGTGGCATTCTTTAAATAGTATTGCCTTAAAAAAAACTACTAACCTTGAGCCTTGGTCGATGAAAAAACAGGTTGTTGAGGCTACAATAATATTACTGATAGGAATTAAATACTTGAGAGAGCCCTTAGCACATCACTCGTTAAAATTGCAGTTGTACAACCTGATATTTTGAACTATGGAGACAAAAACAGCGAATATTCACCTTCAAGACCAAGCTTTTCCGAGGAGAGGAGCTCTCTATGTCAACATGAGGTTAGAATTAGTTGTGAGTGCCCGATGAAAGCAAGTTTTAACACCATGGTTTCCTAAAATAATAAAGTAACCTAATGGTAGAAATAATTGATATTCCGTTTAGCTTTGAAACAGTGAAGATTGGGAGAACACGAAGGGTGGGGTGAGGCAGTACGCTTTACACCAAATCGTAGTGAAAGCACAGACCTCGGCTGTAAGCGTTTAGCCTCAGCAAGTGGACGACTCCATCCGCGATGCACCCCACGTAACCATACACAAAACCAATGTGGTCCTCTGAGGATGACGGATGGAGCAGTATATGCCTTTGGGGTATGAGGTAGGTTGTTTGAGCACGATTACTACTGTTGATTGTATGACTTCAGGGCGCAAAAGCACAACAGACAATTCACACCGAAATTCAGTCAGACAGTCAGCCGGCAGACAAATTAAAATACTGAATTCATTATTAAGTGAATTTAAAAAAAAAAAACATC